AAATTATCTCCACATTGCAATGGCTTCCTTTTTCTAAAATGAAAGCTGAGGTGTGCATATAATCACATGATTACCTGACAAAAATAACAATTATTGTGAGGTGGATGGTGAGCCATAAGAGTAGGTTATGGATAAAATTTGACTTTTCAGCAGAAGGTGCCTGAGAAATCTTTCCTCAAACCAATGATAGTATAGACAATTTTCTTCTATTTTCTCACTTCTAGAGAGTTAGTTAGACATGCCCATCTTTAGAGAAAATCTATGTTTTTACGTAAGCTTTCTTAAAATAAGTGTACATTGGGATCTAAATCATTGGCGTTTGGCTTGGGGAAATATACACTCTGGTAGATAAAAAATAGTCGGGAGGGACCATTCAGTCCCTAACCTTCCTTATGAGGCACTGAGAAGTGAGAAAACACTAACGTTAGAGGTTTTGTAATGTGGACCTGCTCTGGAAGCTTCAGTTCATTCTAGAGGGGAACCAAGCAGTGGTAAGATGTTGCCAGCTTTCAGTCTTTAGCACCCAAACCTAGAAGCCAAATTATCTTGTTTTGTTTTGCTCAACCTCATGTCCTTCCACATTTCTGATGACTACTAGAGCAAGTTATATCCAAGTCGTTGGCCCAAGGATCTGGCCTATGTCACGGAGGGAGTCTTTCCAGCTCCACCATTATTTTGTTTTTCTTGTTGAAGGCGGAAGATAGAGGGCTTCAGGGAAGCAGACCTGTTGGGTCTAATGTAGTTCCCACTTCATGGCCCCACGCCTGTGACCACGCTTGGCTCGTTCATACCACAGCACTGTGCCTGTTAATGCAGATCCTTTGTATCTCCAGCCAGCTGCGCCTGGAGCATTGGGTCATGGGGCAGGTTTGAGGCAGAAGCCCTGCATGGCAGCTGTGAATAGACTTCAAAGAGTCAAACTGCACTCCAAGGAGCTTTGCTAGGAGATAAGTTCCCTACCTTCAGCTTTGGATTTGGGCTGGTCTGGAGTGAGCCCTCCCCTATTCCATGCTGCAGCAGAGAAATCTCATGCCACGTTACTTACCACGAGGCTGCCACAGCACTGTCTCTTGTTTTGAAGCACAGCCAACTGGAGAGATTGGGATGAAGGCTGTGCTGAGCACTCAAAAAGAACAAAATTTATTTAAATTTAAAATTTTATCATTCATTTTACCTAAGGATTCAAGAAGTCAATGCTCAGAACTTGCTTAGCTGAGATCTGTAGCGTCTTAGAGTAGATTTCTGGATGAATGTGGAAGGGGTAAGTATCGTTTCATACAATGAGATGTATTTGAGTCTGTTGCTTATCACCATGGATAAATATTGCACTGTTTGCTGAAACAAGCTGACTGCATTTTCCTGCTTTTATATAATTAATGAGGTTCTTGTTATCTGCTATGGTGTGATTTTCAAAGATGTGTGGATCCAACTGATACCAGTTTAGCAATGCCTACTGGCAGAATGACAAGCAGTAGCAGTTGCTCCTTTAGCATAGAACTTGTGCAAAATTGGACACGATTAGGTCTTAACTCTAGGCCAGGGGAGCAGGAAGTGGATATTGTGTCTAGGTTAATTCCCAAAGAATCCCATTTCAGAACTTGCATCAGAAATACGTTTGCATGAGACTATCAATATCGAAGAAGGCGATACTCCTTTCACACTGCCATCTGGTCTGCATGGAGCTCCTTTGGTTGAATGGCTCAAAGAGAAGGTGCTTTTTTTGTCGTCTTCCTTGAGAAGGGAGCACAGGGAGGAGAACAGAAAATGATGATATTTTGATCATCCTGTTTCTTATTTTAGTGGCATGAACATGCCAGAGTATTTCTCTGAATTAAATTATGCAAACCGTTCATGTTTTCTCCTTGTTTCAAGAACGCTAATGTGGCTGCTAGCAGATTTGCAGCTACAGAGAGGACAAAGATCTGTAGTGTGCGCAGACTCAAGCACAGAATAGTGTCATGCTGAAAGAACCTGCACAAGCTCTAATCGAGTATAAAAGCTTTCTGGGCACTAAGCAAAAATCTGTTTAAATCCCTGACAAGGATGAGAGCACAGCATGCATTATCAGCACATGCACAGAGATGGGAAGGCTCTCAGAACATTTGCATTTCGGATTTGCTGTAATTAAAAGGTTTCAACGTTTCCAAAAAGGTTGAAATGATGGAAGGAGTAAATATAAGACTGCCTTTTTGCCATCTGCATGCAAATATTTAGGGCTCTTCTCTTTTCTCTGCATGTATGCCTGACTCACACTGATCCTAATGCCATTTTTTCTTGAGTATAAGCAATGTGAAAACCCACAGGCTTCTCTTTCATATTTACAATCATTGTTATGACAGTACCAAGTGTTCCCTGCCGTCTTCCAGTCGGTGACGGAGCCCCCACTGTGCACGGCACTGTACCCACAACAAAAAGGCATCTCCCAGGCTCCAGAGACTTCCCAGGGGAAGCGCACCCTTTCCCTCACATGCACTTTTGTAAAGCTACATGTCTTGAGAGATGAGTGCTTGCACGGACCCCAGATAAAGTGAAAAAGGCATCTGTGAGGCAGAGAGATAAAAGCTGAACTGGAGCAGAAACTTTCCCTTCTGGCTCAATGGTGAGCAGAGTAGATCAGGACATAGAACATATGGATTATTTGGGAGGAAATGGCTATTTCAGGGAAGATTTGACTGCAGGCACAAATGGAGAGAAAAGCAGAACCCTGAGTGTGTAAAATGAGGAGTTCTGCACCTCCTTAACCTCCAGAAAAGATTAAAGAAAACATGACTTTTAGAAGTACATCCAACTGGAGAAGGGTCTAGAATTCCCTCTTTTCACATTCTCATGTTGTAGCACAGCTCGAGGATATAATTGTCCAAAAAAAATTCTTGTTGTGTCCACCTATTTGGGTGTTTTCCTCAAAGACGTTTCCTTTATTTTGAGAAATAATTTGCTAAACTGAAATCTCTCTGCAAAGCATCCGTACAAGTCTGAAAGGACTATTATATATATTAGTGATCTGTGTCAAGTGGCATAGCTGGAGCTACTGGTTAGAGGAATATAGGGCAGGTGGATGAATACATTCTGTGATATCAACCAAATACAGAAAAAATTACTCGGGAGCAGAAAAAGAAGGGCTATAAGGTTGAAAATGTCACCTCAGTCACCAGTAGCAATTTGTAAAGATGAGAGAGAAAAAAGAGAAAGGAAGGCCGTGGCTGCTGAATAGAGGATGCCTGCCTAATATATGAGGAAAAGGAGTATGTCTCCACTGAAGTGTTTATATACAAGGTGAACAGGAGCAAACTGAAGGAAGATCTTTCCCTTCTAGCCTGGAACTAGTTGTGACTGCCTTTTCAATGGTGACAGCCCTCCCTCCAGTTTCAGCTTCTCAAATAGCAGCAGATAAAGACTACGAATAGGAAGTGTGTATAAACTCATTATTGAATGTTTGGACTGTGACCTCCTCCTTCCCACAGTCAGGCTGTTAAATATTCATGTAAGTGGTCTCAGTCACATCCTTGCCATCTGTATTTATATGACTTTATCTGAGAGCTCCAAAACATAAAAAATTTTATCCTCCCAATAGTCCTTTAAGGAAAAAGGAATAGTCATCTGTCTTAAGGGAAAAGGAATCAAAACACTGAGAGATTCAGTGAGTTATCTGGATTTATTCATCTAGACTCCAGCAGAGACAGGATCCAGATTCAGATCCTTTGAGTGCTAGGTCCAGCTATAGCCCTGGGCTCTCAAACATCGGTCATATTTAGTGCTACAGGGTGCTGAATAGGTCACTTGATACTGCTCAGCAGGCATAAAAAATCTGTGCAACTGTAAAGGGAGCTGAAGACATAAAGAGTTGTCTTATTTTATCCTGTGTCAAAAGTTTGGTATAGCCTTATGTAGAGTCACCACTCCTTTGTGCTCCTGACAGATGCCTCTGGTAACTAATGCTGATCCTCAAAGGTGCAAAGTAATTTGCCTTGTTGTCACACTCTGTTGCTCTCTGCAAACTGGTGGTTATTATAGGTCTTTGCCTGTTACTGTGCTTTTCTGTCACTATATGTGTGTATGGGTACAGAATGAAAGTATTTGTCAAGGAGAAATCAATAATAAAACCATTATTTAGGTAGTGCAGCCTGCACTGCATTCAGTTGCACACCTTGATGGCCAGATGAAACAGGACCATCATGCAGCTTCAGGAAACAGCGTGCGCACACGGTCAATACTGTGAGGGAACCAATTGTCACAGCTGCATGTTTCACGTGTTTTAGAGCAATCGTGGCTTTCCCTTGACGCTCTGGATGCGCTGTTGACATTTCAGCAGAGCTTCAAAAGCAGTTTCTGCCTCTGTGAGAATACCATGACATTTTAAGAGTAGAAAACAGTTCCTACATTTTGAATCATGCAACGAATCCAGTACTTCTCCCTGTCCCCAGTCAGAACCCGTTAAAAAGTCTGAATGGGAAAGGTGAAGGAACAAGGCCACTGAGAAGAGAATCCGAGACTTTTCAGTGCCCTCATGTGAAATTACTGCAGGCTGGAGCTTGTGTTACTCATATGCATCAGGAAGTTGAATGTGAAGCTCGCATTCAACTCTTGGAAGCCCCCACGCAGAGGGGTTATCACAGAAAAAACATTATTGCAAGACAGTGGAATTGTGGGGGTTATTTTTGTACTTGCTCCCAGAAGGGGGCAAATGTGGGGTAATAGGGGGTAATTTACATCACCTTGGTTTGCTTTCTCATCTGTCCAGGCCCTCACTTGCGTGCTATTTTTAGGCATGGGCGCATTTTGTGAACAAAAAGGGATACGTTTGCCTCGCGGTGCTCAAGGAACTGTTATATGCATTTTGGAAACATGCTGGAGGGCATCTTTGTGCCTTTAACACCATATTGAAATATTTTCTTCTTTCAGTGACCTTTCTCCTTTTAGTCTTTAAGCATTGCCTTGAGGCTCTGAGTTTACTCAATCAATGTATTTTTGTTGTTGATTCTTTTTTTAACTGTCTTTCAGGCATTGGAAAAAATGTCATCTGTGACCGAACGGCAACTCCCCTGGATGCCTTTAGGATGATGACTGCGGCTCACTATTACCCAAAGCTCATGAGCATCATGGGGAACGTCTTGCGCTTCCTGCCTGCCTTTGTGAGGATGAAGCAGTTGATCCAGGAGGGTTACGTGGGGGAGCTCTTGGTGTGTGAGGTGCAGGTTCACAGCGGAAGCCTCCTAGGCAAGAAGTACAACTGGAGCTGTGATGACCTGATGGGGGGCGGGGGCTTGCACTCGGTTGGCACCTATATCATCGACCTCTTGACCTTCCTCACCAGCCAGAAGGCCGTGAAAGTGCATGGGTTGCTGAAGACCTTCGTCAAGCAGACGGACCACATCAAGGGGATACGGCAGATCACCAGTGACGACTTCTGTACGTTTCAGATGGTTCTGGAAGGCGGTGTGTGCTGCACAGTGACGCTTAATTTCAACGTCCCCGGGGAGTTCAAACAAGACATTATTGTAGTCGGTTCGGCCGGTCGGCTGATTGTAATAGGCACTGATCTCTATGGACAGAGCAACAGCTCTCCTCAGAGGGAGCGCCTGCTGAAGGACTCCACACCGGTCAGCAACTCTTTACTTCCGGAGAAGGCCTTCAGTGACATCCCACTGCCATACCTCCGAGGCACCATTAAGATGGTTCAAGCTGTCCGGCAGGCATTTGAGGACCAGGACGACAGGAGGACCTGGGACGGGAGGCCCCTCACGATGGCTGCCACCTTTGATGACTGTCTGTATGCCCTCTGTGTGGTGGACACCATTAAAAAGTCAAACCAGTTGGGGGAGTGGCAGAACATTTCAATCATGACCGAGGAGCCAGAACTGAGCCCTGCATACTTAATCAGTGAAGCCATGCGTAAGAGCAGGATGTCTCTGTACTGCTAGCTCCACTCAGCTCCTAAGAAAGAATAGGAACCAGACAGCTCTTACAGTAAATGGTAACGCAGCCTGTGTGAAGGGCTCAGGCATCTTAAAATCAGCTGAGGATATGAGAGGAGGAAGTACGGTGTTTGGATCAACTAAATCTGTTGATGGCTAAATACCAAAGTGATGATGTTCTAAGAAATGCCCAAAATAGGAGGGTTAAGAGCTGACGTTAACTTAACTGTTTCAATGACAGTATTAGCTGGCTGATTAGCAAGATATATCATGGACTTTTCTCCTGCTTGCAGGTGCTTTAGATTATCCAGTTGTGTTTACTGTGAAAGGTGGGGAAGGTCCTTTTAGATTTTCCTTGCCTACCAGAGGGCTGTGAAGGTACTGTCATGTCATCAAGTTTTCTGTAGTGTCCGACATGAATGGTTCCTACCATGACAGCTGACACCACCATGCTGTACTGCTACATCTTTAACCAACACACAGAATAATAGGTCTCAGCTCGCTTTTCATATAGCTTCTTAGAGGCTTCTGTGTGTTGGTTTAGTCAGTTATTTTTGTGTATGTGGGGTTTTTTTTTTAAGCACAATGACATAGGAGAATGTGTGGCTTTTACAAACAAAGCAGCCCTCAACCACAGCACATACATCCTCCTATCGGGGGGAGTCTTTTACTAGCTCATGGTAAGCTTCAATGTTAACTGTACAGATTTGCTGATTAAAATGGGTTGTGTAAAACCTTCATGAACAGCAGGTGGCATGATACAATAGTGACAGTGGGTTTTTATTGCACAGCTCAACTCAGGCTAGTCTTCTGAAAGTTTACACAATGTCCTATGTGTCTGGGACTGACTTTTGAGTGACTTCATCTCACATTTTGGTTTTCAGTAGAAAACAGAAAACTCAGTAGAAATCCCACCAAAACCAAAATGACATTTAGACAGTCGGTGTTCTTTTAAGTCTTTGTGAACTTGCACTTGAGAGATACAAACCAACCACGAATTTAATATAGGTCAGCCCAGAAGCTTTCACCTCCAACAAGGGGTGAGTGTGAGTGGAAAAAATATAAGGGATGAGAAAACTTCCTATCCATTTCTAGGGAAAAAATTTTAAAAGGATCCTCACCTCTACCTGCTTAAAGTGGCCAACTACTGGTACTGCAGTTATTGTTCCCTGTCATCAGTGCAGGGGTGGAGAAGCTCTTTTGATATGTTTTTCCTGTCCTTCTTGCTAATATTTTAGATTGCAATCTTGAAAGAATATAGTGAAAGTCACATGAATTATCCTAGTAAAGTGGGATACTGCTTTTCTGCGTAAAGCTGCTCCTCTGCTTAAACGTTCACAGCATTAGGTCCTCAGATACAAAAATCACACAGAAAATACTACATCAAGCATATAGCAGTAAATTGTATTACACCTGAGCAAAACTTTTTCAGCTTTTTGTTAATTTTGACTAGGGGAAAGAAGAGAACATTTGGCTGAGCAGTAGCTATTAAGAGAGAAAATACAACCTTTCTTCTCAAGGCCATCAGATTATTGTGGTCGTTTTAGATTAGAAAGAAAACAATCAGAATATTTCAGATTTTTTGTACAGCACTTTTAGTTCTGCTGTTTTTAGGAGCGCCAAGGGCTTCTGTAGAGCTCCTGCAAATGATTCCATCTGATTGTTGTGTGCTCCTGTCTGTTGCACTCCCAATTTCAGTGCTGCATGTTTTTGAACAGGAGGGCGTCAGTAGTGTGGTTCATCTCATCTGGCTTGAGCCAGCTGAAAGTTAGGTCTCTTATCCCCAATAGCTGTGTAATGACACGCTAGTCAATACAGACAGGGAGAGATCTTCAAGGGTTGATTCGGTTCCTCCTAGGACTAATATAGAAGGAGATGTCGACTGGAAATTTCAGTCCTTCTCTTTTGATTGTAGAAGGAATCTTGGGTGCTTACATGAGATGGCTTTTAAATGTTTAGGTGGCTAAAATTGGGAGAATTGACTCCTACCCCAAAATTATGTGTGTGTGCTTAATTTTTAAAGTGAGTATTTGTGACCTTTCATGAAACATTCCCCAAAGTGTAAAAGCGTGACTGGTGAAGGAACAGTGTAATACTGCAAAACCATAGCCAACCGGAGGAGTGTTTCTGTCCCCATTGTTCTGCCATTTCTAGCGATTGTGTCTATGGTTGACTGCTTCTGCTAGGCTTCAGGCAAGCGTTCTTAATGCCTTCTGGAAGCATCTCTTGACAGGTTTGGATTTTTTTTCCTAGAAATGATTTCTCTGCAAACAATTCCCATAGCAGTACCTGTGCCAACAGGAATTTCCCGTTGTTACAATTGTCATGGTATACCATGAGATCCAGTTTCTGCCCTGAAAAATAGGCAGAAAAATACAGAAGAGAGTTTGACAAAAAATCATACATCTCTCCTGACAAATGGAATTAGCCCCAGGGGGATCAAGAGAGTTTTCATATAGTAAGGCAAACGCCCTTTATTGACAACAGTGGCAAGTTCAAATTGTGAATGCAAGCCCAGTGGATAATTAACCATGTCTAGTTAAACATCATTCAAAACTGTAACTAAATGTAGGCCAAAGTGTTTTTTTAAGTGTCTTGCTGATAAGCAGTTTGGCCACTGTGCCTCGAATTCCTGTTCATGTCTTTGGACCTCATTTTGGTTTTCAACAAATGTTGATGGTTTTCCCCATGTGTATTTCATTTTTCCTGTATCTTACTGTTTTTTTTGTGATGCCAGCTGGCAGAAGATGTGCTGGAACCTAAACCCCCTCCTTCGGTGCATGTTCCCTAGGTGAAACACAGTGTAAAGGGAGAGTGCTACTAAACTCGACCTTTCTGCTCCAGATCCAAAGGTTTAGGTGACATTATTATCATCCGTGCGCTGTGCAAACTTAACTGATGCAGATTTTGCTGCTTAGTGGAAAGAATGCTCTGGTTGCATAGCCATTTGATGCGAGTGAAGGTACCAACTTCCAAATGGGTTGAACCCCACACGGCTCACTAGGTGACCACAGTGCTGGCCCCAGAGAGGCAGCCAGAACGAGCAGAGGCAGGGTGGGACCTCCTCTTTTGACAGCAATGTAGACCTTACGCTAGGTTCAGGAGAACATTTGACCTAATTGGGACGGCAGCAGTAACCGCATACATTCAGGATTGCATGACAGTTTTTCCATTCTCTAGGAGGTAAAGGTGCTGCAGTGTCAAGTGTAAAGACATTTAACTTCCAGCTGGCCTAGAAGAGCAAGGAACTGGTTTATTTATAGAATGTGTATTACTATTCTGATAAAATGTTACTGTGTGCTCTAGGATCTTTCTTGGCAGTGTCAAGGCCTCTGCTCTTTTGGTACAGTTGAAAGTACACTGAATTACTCTAAGTCGCCTCTGGAGTTCGCACTGGGTTTAAGAATTTGGGCAGCAGTTAAAAGAAGTGTACTTGATTGAGCTCAAAAGCAGTACCATACCAGGCAACATATATTCGGAACTGCACTTTTAATGCTCTTCTTTAATGCTGTGCCACATTTGAGATGAATACTGCTAGAATTGGTGCAAGCCTAATAGCCAGGCTGAGGCTACTGCTGGAATCTACAGTAGTCCCCAAAACAAACTGGTTCATACACTAGATAAGAGGTATTCATTCCTCTTCCCTGGGCTGCTGTTGGAGAGGCTCCTTCCTTTGCCATACACCTTTAGGATACTAAACATTATGGTCTGTTGCCAAAGACGAAAAGAGCCAAAGGGGAGAGCCCAGAGGAAATGCTCTGCTGCTCCGCAGGGGCTATTCTAATGCTGGGACATTCAGCTGTGTCTAATTTAAATGGGAATCAGATTGGGCTCCAGGCTAAGGGGAGGGCAGCCCATCACTGTGCCCCTGTGCCACAGCAGGGCGCAACTGAAGTCCTTCCATATGCCCAAAGGAGAACAGTAGCTGCAGCAGTGAAGGAAAAGAAGGTATGTCTGCAGGCAGGTAGCTGTATGCCTGCACCAACAGGAAGAGTAAGCTGGTTGCCCGGAGGGTGAAGGCTGCCCCTGCTGGAGGTGGTGGCAGTGGCTTTTCTCTACCTCTGTGTTCAGGAGCCCGAGGGGTGACCCTGCCCTCAGAGGAGCAGCATCTGTCCCGTACTCCTGCTAGATCCATGTGGGTCCTCAAAGCTGAACTCACTGAAGTCCTATCTAGAGGCCTAAAAACTCTATAAGAGCTGCGGGGTTTCCTGTATCTAATACCATGCATGCGTTAGATTAGTAGTACTTTAGCTGTGTAGTTAGAAAATAGCTAGTAGAGATGATATGTCCTTACCCTTGCAGCCAATGCAGCAGAGAATCAGGGCATGCATAAACTAGTTTAGGCTCAGGATGGACGGCTGTGGAGTTCATCCCTTGCTTTGGCTGAAAGCATGAGAAATTCCTGCCCAGCCGGCATAGGGCAATCAGAGGCGCTCTCCACTTTGCACTTAATGTTTCCTTCTTTGGGATAGCTTTCTAGCTACAGTGATGGCACAAGGGAACAGCTATCTTGGAAGTGCAGTCATTCAGAAAAGGAGGCTCTTCTGCTGCCTGTGTTCACAGCACACAGGCTGTGCAGTTTGTTTATTTCTGTGTCTGCACAAATACAGAAAAGGCACTAGGAGTTTAAAATTACTCATTTCCTGCCCCCCCTCCCCCCAATTATTATTAGCAGATTTTATTTTGCAGGTAAAGATAAATTTAGTAGCTTGATGGTGTCTTTGTGGAGATCCAGAAATTGCTAATGACAGAAATTCTTGTTGCTGGAAGCTTAGTCTTTAACTGTTACCCTCATTATAAAGTATCACAAATTATAGAGTCTCTTCACTCTTAATTTCTGTATCTACAAGGGTTTAAAAGCACCCAGCAAACTTTTGGATTTGTGCAGATATTCAACATGTTGACTTGATTTCCAGTGGGCAAGTGATATACCCTTAAGTACATATGAAGCTCAGCACTGGACTGTTCGACCTCTGCAGTGCTCTCTGGGTATTTAGGACGAGTTGTGAAATGGCAGGCTTATTCAGGACAGCAGTTTCTTCTTGTCATTGTTGTTGCTGAAGTTACTTTTGGGAAGCAAAGTTTGTAAATTATTTAGAGATGACGTATGACTGAGTAATAATTGTCAGTCCTGTCAGCTTTAAAATTTCCTCTTTCTTGAGCTGCTGGATGAAGTCCATCCAATAAAAATAATTTTCCCTAACAATAACTGCCCAATTCCATTTGCTCGTGAAAAGAAAGAATTCTAAGTAGACAGGACTTTACATAATGCTGCATTCATGAACCGATGTCATAACCTCATGACTGCTGCTCCTACTGAGTGCAGAAAACCAGAGCCAAGGCAAGGAATGACTTCTTGGAAGCTGTCAAATCACAGCATTGGGGCGGGGGAATGAAGGGTATCAGCTTAGGTCAAACTGCAACAGGTTTTATTCACATTTTTAATTAAATGAAAAACTTTCTGAGTTGAGTTCCATTTTTAAAGAATG